TCCATTGACATTCATTGAAGCTTCACTCTGCAAAGCTCAAATTTGAAGTGCAATTTCTAAACTGCGACTGTGCCTTCATTTTTAATACTTCAGAGACATACTATGCATCAAAATGTAGGTCTGGGTCTTGTGATTCTCACAATATAAAGCTCTTCGCTGTAGGAGTTATAGTTTTTTAAGATACGACCGTTTGAAGATGGCAACCACCAAAATACTCTGACCTGTCAAGGCTGCAGCAGCAAGTGATGTCATAGACAGGGCCTTTTGAACACCTGCTAATGTTTTTATAAATGTATGGTTTAATGTAACTGTGCAACAGCGTTGCAATTAAATGTGCTATGTAAATGATAACAGTTACTCCGCCCACTCCAGTTGTAGACTACTGGTGGGCAAAACACTTTACATTCCCAGAAATTGTGGCACTGGATTAGTGTTCTTGCATGCTTAAGACTCCTGTGTTATCTCACATATATATTATTATTATTATTATTATAGCAAAATTTGCCACCCTAACTCCTCCCACAGTTTTACACTACATAGACAAAAATTTACCAAAACGTGCAGATTGTTCCCGATCGGATTGCTATTACTTTGTGGAACGTTTCGCCGAATGGTTTACGGAATATCGTCGTTTTTGTGGCGCAATTTGTCCCATAGGAATGAATGGCAAAGCTAGAGTGGGAGCTGCCAAAAGCTGAAAAATCAGGACATGATTTCTAAACTGCCACCACTCCCATATTTTCAGGCCCACCTACACAAATCTTATATCAAAACGTTCAGCTATCCCTGCTGCCACTAAACATGTCAACGGTTAAGCCGTAGTCCTGATAGTTTTCACAATATAATCATTTGTTTGCAACTAACGCCGTCCATTGACTTTCATTGAAACTTCACTCTGCAAAGCTCAAATTTGAAGTGCAATTTCTAAACTACGACTGTGCCTTCAATTTTAATACTTCAGAGACATACTATGCATCAAAATGTAGGTCTGGGTCTTGTGATTCTCACAATATAAAGCTCTTCGCTGTAGGATTTATAGTTTTCAAAATACGACCGTTTGAAGATGGCAACCATAAAAATACTCTGACCTGTGCAAGGCTGCAGCAGCAAGTGATGTCATAGACAGGGCCTTTTGAACACCTGCTAATGTTTTTATAAATGTATGGTTTAATGTAACTGTGCAACAACGTTGCAATTAAATGTGCTAAGACTACTGGTGGAGGCAAGAACACTTCACACAATTTTCCCAGAAATTGTAGCTTTTCTAGTTATTCTTATTCTTATTATAGCAAAATTTGCCACCCTAACTCCTCCCACAGTTTTTACACTACATAGACAAAAATTTACCAAAACGTGCAGATTGTTCCCGATCGGATTGCTGTTACTTTGTGGAACGTTTCGCCGAATGGTTCACGGAATATCGTCGTTCTTGTGGCGAAATTTGTCCCATAGGAATGAATGGCAAAGCTAGAGTGGGAGCTGGCAAAAGCTGAAAAATCAGGACATGATTTCTAAACTGCCACCACTCCCTTATTTTCAGGCCACCTACACAAATCTTATATCAAAACGTTCAGCTATCCCTGCTGCCACTAAACATGTCAACGGCTAAGCCGTAGTTCTGATAGTTTTCACAATATGACCATTTGTTTGCAACCAACGCCGTCCATTGACATTCATTGAAACTTCACTCTGCAAAACTCAAATTTGAAGTGCAATTTCTAAACTGCGACTGTGCCTTCATTTTTAATACTTTAGAGACATACTATGCATCAAAATGTAGGTCTGGGTCTTGTGATTCTCACAATATAAAGCTCTTCACTTTCAGGGTTATGGTTTTGGATACACGACCGTTTGAAGATGGCAACGCCGAAAATACTCCTGACCTGTGTCAGGCTGCAGCAGCAAGTGATGTCATAGACAGGGCCTTTTAAATACCTGCTAATGTTTTTATAAATGTATGGTTTAATGTAACTGTGCAACAACGTTGCAATTGAATGTGCTATATAAATGATAACAGTTACTCCACCCACTCCAGTTGTAGACTACTGGTGGAGGCAAGAACACTTCACACAATTTCCCCAGGAATTGTAACTTTTCTAGTTATTATTAAGTGTTCTTGCATAGCAAGACCACTTAATGTTATCTCACATATATATTATTATTATTAGGGTGACACTTGCATAGCGGGCCGCAATGTTATCTCACATATACCACTATTATTATTATTATAGCAAAATTTGCCGCCCTAACTCCTCCCACAGTTTTTACACTACATAGACCAAAATTTACCAAAACGTGCAGATTGTTCCCGATCGGATTGCTATTACTTTGTGGAACGTTTCGCCGAATGGTTCACGGAATATCGTCGTTCTTGTGGCGAAATTTGTCCTATAGGAATGAATGGCAAAGCTAGAGTGGGAGCTGGCAAAAGCTGAAAAATCAGGACATGATTTCTAAACTGCCACCACTCCCTCATTTTCAAGCCCACCTACACAAATCTTATATCAAAACGTTCAGCTATCCCTGCTGCCACTAAACATGTAAACGGCTAAGCCGTAGTCCTGATAGTTTTCACAATATGACCATTTGTTTGCAACCAACGCCGTCCATTGACATTCATTGAAACTTCACTCTGCAAAGCTCAAATTTGAAGTGCAATTTCTAAACTGCGACTGCGCCTTCAATTTTAATACTTCAGAGACATACTATGCATCAAAATGTAGGTCTGGGTCTTGTGATTCTCACAATATAAAGCTCTTCACTGTAGGAGTTATAGTTTTTAAGATACGACCGTTTGAAGATGGCAACCACCAAAATACTCTGACCTGTGTCAAGCTGCAGCAGCAAGTGATGTCATAGACAGGGCCTTTTGAACACCTGCTAATGTTTTTATAAATGTATGGTTTAATGTAACTGTGCAACAACGTTGCAATTAAATGTGCTATATAAATGATAACAGTTACTCCGCCCACTCCAGTTGTAGACTACAGGTGGAGGCAAGAACACTTCACACAATTTCCCCAGAAATTGTAACTTTTCTAGTTATTATTATTATTATTATAGCAAAATTTGCCACCCTAACTCCTCCCACAGTTTTTACACTACATAGACCAAAATTTACCAAAACATGCAGATTGTTCCCGATCGGATTGCTATTACTTTGTGGAACGTTTCGCCGAATGGTTCACGGAATATCGTCGTTCTTGTGGCGAAATTTGTCCCATAGGAATGAATGGCAAAGCTAGAGTGGGAGCTGGCAAAAGCTGAAAAATCAGGACATGATTTCTAAACTGCCACCACTCTCTTATTTTCAGGCCCACCTACACAAATCTTATATCAAAACGTTCAGCTATCCCTGCTGCCACTAAACATGTCAACGGCTAAGCCATAGTCCTGATAGGTTTCACAATATAATCATTTGTTTGCAACTAACACCGTCCATTGACATTCATTGAAACCTCACTCTACAAAGCTCAAATTTGAAGTGCAATATCTAAACTGCGACTGTGCCTTCATTTTTAATACTTCAGAGACATACTATGCATCAAAATTTAGGTCTGGGTCCTGTGATACTCACAATATAAAGCTCTTCGCTGTAGGATTGATAGTTTTTAAAATACAATAGTTTGAAGATGGCAACCGCCAAGATACTCTGACCTGTGCCAGGCTGCAGCAGCAAGTGATGTCATAGACAGGGCCTTTTGAACACCTGCTAATGTTTTATAAATGTATGGTTTAATGTAACTGTGCAACAACGTTGCAATTAAATGTGCTATGTAAATGATAACAGTTACTCCGCCCACTCCAGTTGTAGACTACAGGTGGAGGCAAGAACACTTCACACAATTTCCCCTGAAATTGTAACTTTTCTAGTTATTATTATTATTATTACAGCAAAATTTGCCACCCTAACTCCTCCCACAGTTTTTACACTACATAGACCAAAATTTACCAAAACGTGCAGATTGTTCCCGATCGGATTGCTATTACTTTGTGGAACGTTTCGCCGAATGGTTCACGGAATATCGTCGTTCTTGTGGCGAAATTTGTCCCATAGGAATGAATGGCAAAGCTAGAGTGGGAGCTGGCAAAAGCTGAAAAATCAGGACATGATTTCTAAACTGCCACCACTCCCTTATTTTCAGGCCCACCTACACAAATCTTATATCAAAACGTTCAGCTATCCCTGCTGCCACTAAACATGTCAACGACTAAGCCATAGTCCTGATAGTTTTCACAATATAATCATTTGTTTGCAACTAACGCCGTCCATTGACTTTCATTGAAACTTCACTCTGCAAAGCTCAAATTTGAAGTGCAATTTCTAAACTGCGACTGTGCCTTCAATTTTAATACTTCAGAGACATACTATGCATCAAAATGTAGGCCTGGGTCTTGTGATTCTCACAACATAAAGCTCTTCGCTGTAGGATTTATAGTATTTAAAATATGACCGTTTGAAGATGGCAACCACCAAAATACTCTGACCTGTCAAGGCTACAGCAGCAAGTGATGTCATAGACAGGGCCTTTTGAACACCTGCTAATGTTTTTATAAATGTATGGTTTAATGTAACTGTGCAACAACGTTGCAATTAAATGTGCTATATAAATGATAACAGTTACTCTGCCCATTCCAGTTGTAGACTACTGGTGGAGGCAAGAACACTTCACACAATTTCCCCAGAAATTGTAGCTTTTCTAGTTTTTATTAATGTTGTGCTTTTTATAAAATGTAGAATGTATTTTTCAGGTGTGCCCCCAATCCTTTTTGTTGTTACTATGCAAGTTTGGAATCCATACCAGATTACATTTGGGGTTAAGCACCCCACCCAAGCCCCCAGCTTCAGAAGCTCCTTTAGAGGTGACCACCTGTGTGTATATATGAGGAGTTTTTGAAATGCAATGTCACTTTTATTATAATCAAAAATGACTAGGAAACCCTTATCATCCAGTAGATATTACTAGTAAGGGTTGGTCAACGTTGGTGGTACCAATTCCATCCTGAATTCTCTCTCCTCTCACCTCTGACAAAGGTGCCGTTTGAGCACCAAAATGTGCGTCGGGTTTATTTTATTTAATTTTAACTTGCACTATGCACTGATTCCTCACAGATTCACTATTTTGATTAATAGGGTGTTTGTGGGGTTGCAGGGAATTTTATGGGCATAGCCACAAGGGTAGATATGGAAGGTATTGGTGACTCAGATAGGAGTAACTGAGTTTCATACTATTTTTAGCACCCACGAAGATGCAGACAGGGAGAACTAGCAGAGGTTCACTCTACCATTTAACCTAGCATTTGGCAGGTAGCTGTAGCTATGATAGTTGGTATTATTAGCACCCACTAAGGTTCAGACAGGGAGAACTAGGAGATGTTTACTCTACCATTTAGCCCAGCATCTGGCAGGTAGCTGCACTAGTATATTTGTCAGAACAGCAATGGATCTATACAGCATTTAAGCACCTTTTAAGGTGCAGGCAGGAAGTGTTATAGGATTCACTCCTTTTTATATTGTGGATTGCTGTAACCTCCTATAACTATCCCTTTTCCCCTCTCCATAATTAGCATCCTCCTTAATGTGGTAATACTCTCTTGATATCACCATTTTAGGTTCTCTATATTGGAAGTAACAATTTAGTGAATCTTTAACTTTCTAATTTTGTTGAGAGCAGACCCCACCTTGGGATTGGACTAGATAATTGTATTCTATTAATATAAAACAGATCCAGAAATGAGAGTCTGATTCATATTCTCAAGAGGGATTATTGATACTCCCATTACTTTAATAGACACCCTAATTTAATTGTTAAGTAGAGTTGCACTTTGTCAGTTTTCATTTTGGCAATAAATAATGCCTAATAAACTACTGAATAAGCAACAAAGTGAAATACTCTGTTACCAAATTGTATCTATTTCCCTTTATTCTATCACAGCTACATGCACTCTTAGGAATGTAAAGTGTTCCTTATAAATACCAATCTAGAGATCCCCTTCTCGGATCTCTTGAAATCTAATCACGTTTATTATAATCTTCATTTAGCACATATTGACTTGCATTGTGAGTATATTCATCCAAGTACTTACACTTTAATTGTTTGGTTTTTAAACTGTTTTTAATTTAATTGCTTTTATCACATTAATTTGATATACTCACAATGCTCTTACA